TTAGCAAAAAAGAAAGTTTTAATCCTAATCTTAAAAGTAGAGATAGTGTCTGTCTCCCGAATCCAAACTGGAAGCAAGCTTCACAGCAGCCTTACTGGTAGGACAAAAGACCACATGCACATTTTTACGATTTCTTTCTGCAAAAATGCTACTAAAGAGGCACCATTTAAATCTTCAGGGATTCGAGGGCCTGTAAATCTGCTCTTGAAGAGGATACACAACCGTGGTCAACATCAGCAGCAGTCCCACATTCCCTAGATTAAGCAGAATATAAAAATCCCCCAATTATTTTTGCTAGAGCCAGAACCAGATTAGACTAAAGTAGCTTTATATTAGTCACTGCTAATAATGATGTTTTATTGCACTCCAGTCTGAAACAAGCAGTTCTATCTCATGTCCCTTTCAAGCTATCTCCCTGAAAGCCCACTATGTCCTGATTGGTTTCCCATTACCTGTCTTCTATAAACAGAGCTTCAGCTTGGGTTCAGAATTTTTGATTGTCACATTCTTGATTTAAATTTGTGATTGCAATGAAAGAACTGCAATTTTTTGTATTAAATTAAATATTTAGATACCACAGATGCATGTGTGTGAAACTGCATGACTCTATTTAAAGTCAAACTTTTGAGCCTTAGGATAAAAAGTATTGCCTACCTACACACAACTGAAGCATATGCCTAAGAGGATTTTGCTGTTGTCAGTTGTTTTGCATTCTTTATTACGTGTTCACAGTTGAGTGTTCACATCCTAGTATTGATATATTAAGACATGGGTGTTTCAGTTTCCACCGAGGGACAAGATTAAAAAGTAGTAACAAAATGCAGTCTGGTCACAAGTGTAAATAAGTTTCATTCTTCTGAGTAGAAACAAAGAACAATATCTCACACATCATTTGTTTCAAGATCACCTCAAACGAATGTGATGCATATGAGGGAGGAGTCGACTTTTCAGAAAACATTTTATCTTGCATCTTTAGTGTGCACAAGAAATTCTGCTGGATATTATATTACTTAAATGATGTATTGAGGAGGGCAACTAGCCAACTGATTCTGTTTCCATTTAAATGGGTAGAATTAAAAGAATCTTTGTTATTTTTTTTGATCATATAATTATATTATAGCTCCTGTACTTATTATCACGTAAGTCACACTTTCAAACATGTGAAAATGGAATAAAGTTCTCTTTGGTTTACTCGTGGAGAAAATGTCTGTTTATTTAGGGTAAATTAGTACATCAGACTGGACAGATTGAATGAAAACAAATATTTAAATGTTACACACTAAGTTACTACAATTAATTCATTAAAAATATCTTTCCTAAACAGTGTGCTTTCCTCAATTGTGTCCTTCTTCTGTGGAAAGCATGGAGATGCACCAGTCACTCAGAGAAAGGAGTGTGATAATACTCTTCCCCACTGACACGGAGAGGGAAGAATGGTTAGCTTAAATTAGTAGGTGCAATTTTTCTCAGACTAAACTGGCAGCTTTAGTAGCAAAAAGCAAAACATCACCAGTGTTAATATACAAAATATTACATTTATATATTTGTATTTTCAGTAAGCCCTGCTTATTATATCCAAGGGCAAGATGAGACTAAAAACAGCTCGCCCCACTGTCTTTGTGCATTGCACTGTGTTTAGAAAGCACATTTTCACTGCTAATATGCGCATAGGATTGCACTCACAGTTACATGTAAAATAGTTTTGTATGGTTGCAGAAAGAAACAGGTGCATTTCAGCCTGTGATTTTCTCAACAGCAATGAATTCCTAACACAGCAATACTTAAATAGAAACAACAAATGCAGGTGTAACTCTTAATAAGGGGGAGATTACCTGTAAATACACTGATGCTGTTTTTGAAACAATGGCTATTTTCAATTTCAATCTATCACTGGGACAGATACAGCAGAAATCCGAGAAAGTGAGAATAGTTACACTAACTCAGCAATTCCCAAAGTCAAAAACGCTGAGGTCCACTAGAAACTAGAAAATCGAATCAAAGTACAGAAGAAAGTGATGTATTTTGCTGAAAATCTTATTTAAAAAAACAACAGCGTTCAGCCCATTGGATGATCCACATGCAGTGTTGGGAAGGTTACTTTTAAAATGTATTTCACTACAGATTACATGCCCCAAAATGTATTTTGTAACATATTCCGTTACGTTACTAAATGAGAGTAACGTATTCTGAATACTTTGGATTACTTAATATATTATCAAGCTTTTTACAACTACTTGAATGTGCAATTGTTGAGTGATTTATTCGTATTACTGAAGGTTACTCGCCATACCAATACCAACTAGATTTTTAAATCTTAATATAAATGAGTAACTGAACATTAGGTAGGGTGAACATTAGGTAAGGCTGCACTTATAGCAGCGATCTTGTATTAAAACGATTCCGCGCGTATATAAAACCGGTCTCAGGCTCCAAACCGTAGTAAAGGGACTAATACAGGGGTGGCCAACTCCAGGCCTCAAGAGCCGGCATCCTGCAGGTTTTTGATCTCACCCTGGGTCAACACACCTTAATCAAATGATTAGTTCATTACCAGGCCTCTGGAGAACTTCAAGACATGTTGAGGAGATCATTTAGCCATTTGAATCAGCTGTGTTGGATCAAGGACACATCTAAAACCTAAAGGACACCGGCTCTCGAGGCCTGGAGTTGGCCACCCCTGGGCTAATATGTTGGTTCCGTGTCGGGCAACACCACAAATTTGTCAAACACCTCAGAGTAAATCATCACAGAATATGACGAGCGTATGTTGAGGCGAACTGAAGAGGGGTTGGAAGAGGAGTGGACAGGGACAGGTGCTGCTAGGGCGAGACAGACGTCTCTCACGGAGTCCTTTAGTGCTGCAGGCAGGCAAGGTGTTCAAATAGTGCACAACTTCAGGTTTTTTATTTCTATATGATGAATTCTGCATTATTAAGTGATAAGAACAAGTAATCTGATGTCCTGTAATCATTATGATACTATAATTTGAGATACAATAAATAAAATATGTTTTTGTACAAAGTGTTGGTATCGGATCAGTATCGTCGATACCACCATGAATTTTACTTGGTATCGGATCGGAAAGGAAATGAGTGGTATCGCACATCACTACTAGAGAGAGTTGTTATGTCTGTCCTGCAGGTTTTAGATCTCACCCTGGGTCAACACAACTGAATCAAATGACTCGTTCATTACCAGGCCTCGGA